TATTTCCATGAAGGAAACTGATACATATTCCTCCCTATAACCCACGTGAAGGGTTGGTCGTCAATTCACGGAACTGCTGGGAAGTGATGGAACCTTTAAGACGTAGGGCCTAGATGAACGTGGTCATATAAGTACATGACCCTGATGGGGACACTGGGACCCTGGCCCCATGTCTTTCTCCCATTGGTTTCTCAGTTATGATGACAAAAACAGCTCCCACTACCACATTTCCCTCAAGATTTACAGCTGCCTTGCCAGAGTCTTAAAAGCAATGGTGATAACTGATCATGTACCCTTTCCTTTAAAAGACTGACTACCTGAGCTACTTCCTCACGGCTACACAAGCTGTATTCCAGTGTGGACTGTATTCCACTGCAGACTGCAGTAGAAAGCCTCAGAGACTGGAAAGGGTCCAGAGTGTGGAAGAGACCCTGCCACATTGTTTAACCATTTCCCAGGTGACTCTAGACCAGTGGTTTTCAACCTTCTTAATGTCTCAACCCTTTGGAAGGGACTCTGGCCATGGCTGGCACCCTGGAGCATGGCAAACAAGGTTCTGGCAGGCTTTGCTCCTCTCCCCAATTCCCTCTGCCTGGCTAAAAGCCGTTAGATTACATTCCTGATGCTGGTCACCAGGGTCCACCCCTTTATTTGGCCACTTCCTCCTCCTAAGGCTGACTACCAAGATCAGGCCATCAAAGTACTGAAGTACAGCAATCAAAAGCTCCCCATGGCTCACCTAATTAACATGTCTAGTTAAAATTAAACACCGCATTCAAACACAGGGTTTTCCCTTCTACCTTAATAAACCACCAATTAATTGCCTATGGGCCAAGTCTGTCTCCTCTCTATCCAGAGGGGCAGGCCTTTGTCATCATCATCTTCTTCTTCATCATCATCATCATCATCATCATCATCATCACCATCATCATCATCATCATCATCATCACCATCGTTCCTAACCTCCAAATACCCCCCCCCCTTGTTCTCTATCTCTTGTCTTTGTCTCTTATTCCCTGCCCTTTGTCGGGGGTGGGGTGGGGGTGGGGGATAAATCTCCTTTGAATTGAGAACTTGGCCTTGGGAGTCCTGAGCCGACACACCGTTCCCTTTCACCTTTACCACCGTTCCTCATGTGACCCTCAACCGTAAAATTACTTTGGTGCTACTTCATAACTGTTATTTTGCTACTGTTATGAATTGTAATATAAATATTTGTGGACACAGAGGTTTGCCAAAGGAGTCGCCACCCACAGGCTGAGAACCACTGCTGTAGACCCTTTGTGCCATGGATACCTCACATGGTACAGCACCACGAAAGCTTCCCACTAACGAGATCTGAAGCCTCGACAGACCCATCTACCCCTCTGCCTCATGAGAGACAAGAGGGATTAGCAGATGCTCTTGCCTTTGGGCAACAAATACAGCATCTCAGGGTTCACATCTGTTACTGAAAAAAAAAAAAAACCAAATCAAAAACAGGGGTAATCTCTGCTACCATTGGGTTGAGAAATTGGGGTCATTTATGTTCGACACTTCTATTAAAGAATAAGGAGAAAACTGCTTCCCATGGTGGAAAAACGTTGAGTTTAAAGTCTACACAGGCCTTTGTAAGAAGGAAGTGACACCCCTCCTACCCACTGCTGGAATGGTGGCCTAGCAGGTCATAGAGACCAAATGAGAAGTGGTTCTCTGGTCGTCCGCTTCAGGGACTGAGGACAAAACACCAGTTAGAAAGCCCAGTGCCACTCACACACCTGAGGACACAGTGGTGGGGACACAGCACATCAGTCTAGAGACTCCTTGGGGGAACACACGACCTCTAAAGCTCTAAAACTCCCTCACCAGCCTCTACCTAGTCCTGTCAGTCTCGCTGTGATTAAAGCAGCCACGGTGTGGTGTGACGGAAAAGGAGGAGGCAGCTCTGCACTGCCAGACAGTAAAGCAATCGGGGTTCCAACCCTCCCCAAGAAGGCATGCCCCTCAAGCCAGGACTAAGCTGCAGTCAGAACTGAAACCCTACAAGCAAACCCCACAGAGACTACATCAGAGGCAACCCCAGCTCCCCATACAGTTCACAAGAAGCCTTTCCTACTCAGCCCCGGAAGGCAGTGGATGGGGTGACATCACCCACCCCGCAGATCGCCTCTTCACCCATGGTAAAACTACCAAGGAGTTTCACAGTAACTGAGTCCCGTGAAGACCTTCAGAAAACACTAAAGCCAACACTTTCAGAAACTGAAGTTACACAGCTCGGCGGGGTGCACTGCACTATTGGGGAAGGCTCTGCCCTCCCAGTCTTGCACATGTACTTTTCCTTACTCATTTAACCACATCAAGAAACCCCCCAAGAGAGGCCCTTTCCTCAGCAAGGCAAGGTACAAAAGAGAATTCGAAATGGCCTTGTTTTCTCTTGCAAAATGAAACACTGTTATGTTTTATTCATGCAAAGTGAAAACCCTTTTTCTTTCCAGCATTACAAATTGAATTTGCTCTTGTAAATTGCTGTTAAGGAAAAAAAAAAAAAAGAGAGAGAGAAAGAATCAAAAGCAAAGGAAAATTAAATATATATATATTTAGCTGGAATACAAAGGCTCCTTCTTCCAGGGCAAGAAAGCTCCGGGGACCAATGGGGAGAAATGGAACCTTAAGTGGTGAACTTGCTTCTTTACCTACTGCTCCAAAAGGGCTCAAAGACACCCCCTACCCCTAACCACAGAGACATGCTAAGGTCCTGACAGCTATGGGGAGACACTAACATAATGCCACCTACCTTAACTGTGCTCTTTGGTGGGGATGGGGATGGGAGGAGCTCTTCCTGCTCAGCAGGTAAACTGAACTCACCAAGGTTTGCAAGGGTTTCCTATGGTTTATCTCCAGTGATCAACTATCCTAGAAGCCACGGGAAGTCTGACCCCTCCCCTCCGCTGTGACTTGAAAAGGAAGCCGTGTAATTAGCTGCATCTGTTAAGTACATGTTGCTTTAAAAAAATGAAGAGTAAACATTCATTAAGCACTTGCATGTTTTCATCACTGTGCCAATTATTACCCACACTCGCTGGTGTACACACACATGTGCCGTTGTCCCTGGCAGCCATCTTCATTTCTCAGATGAGAGAAAATAAGGCACCGAGAGCTTGAGCAATTTTGCCATCTCGAATCCGAATCACGTTTCTCTGATACACAAGTAGCAATTGGATTTATTTTAAAGAAACAGTGTAGACCGAATACTTGCCTGAGTAAAATCTAACCTAAAACACATGTAACAGGGCTGAGGACATGACTCGGATGGAGTGCTTCCTTGGAGCCTTCGGGGAGGCGAGACCACAAACAAAACCCAAACAAGTAACAGACCTGAATACATATTTCTGGTTGTGGGGATATACAACAGACTTCATTTTGGCTCCCACCATAGAGACAGATGTGGAGAACAGAAATCAGAAGAGTGAGCCCTCTACAGAGGCTACTTGTTTTCAATGGCCACCTCAGAGTTTCTCTGTAACAGTCATTCACTGAGGTGAAGGCAAGCGAGCGGTCCAGTACTGAAGCCCTCCAAATGTAATATGAATCATCTACCTACTGGCTCACCCCAAAGCTGGGGCTTCTTCCTCTCATATAAATAGCTCTGAGATGTGCTAAGCTCCCAGGAAGATTTATACCCAATCAGCGGTCAGAAAATTCTCCTTTCTCGAGTCTGGTTCCAGCACAAACGCCTGTTCTTTAATTGTCAAATATTTAGTCAGAAGCCTTCACTTCTGGTTTGGGATGTGGAATTTGGCAAGGACAATCAAACACACTGGTACGTCATATACAGGACAGCTGTATAAAAGAAGTCAGACCCTCCCCTTATAAAGGACCGTGTGACCCAATTTCGAACAAACAAGCCGGAATGCTCAGAAAAACCATCCCTCCGGCACCTGAGATTTGATCTACTTTTGTAACATTTTTGTGCATTTTCAACACGATTACCTTAAACGTTCAACAGTTTGACCCAAAATACTAGAAGACACGCCTATACCGTGGGAATTGCCAAAACATTGATCATGACTTAAGTGTCGACTGAGTGTCCAATTATTTTGCAATGGGGTTCAAGTACAGTATTAGTGGTAACAGTTGCTCAAGTCACTAGCTACAACATGGCTTGAAAGTCGGAACGTCGGTTTCCTGTCACCTCGGAGAAGAGAAGAGCCATAAGTACTTGTGGTAACTTATTTCCAGGAGAATAGCAGAAAAACACACGCGGAATGCAACTGTTGTAAGACCTTACCCTTTCAAACAAGCCCTTAGGAAGAAATGTCACTAGCGACATGAATCTGAAGTAGCCAGGACGCAGTCAAATACAACGGCATGGATAAGAAAAGGAATGTAAAAAGAATGTGGAGAAGAGAGAAATAACAGGTACAGATTGTCAGAAGGGTAGGGAACTTGGTAAAATGAGGGAGAAGTGTGTACAGAAGCCCCTTGAGCCACACGAGTGGCCAAGCTCCTTCCCCAAGAACTTCTACCTTCCAGGTTCCACCCCCAGAATACTCTAACCTGACTTAACTGCTGGACCCCATCCTACAGAGTAAAAAAAGGCCAATCTCTGGACATGAAACTCCACCAATATTTACCCTGGAAAGCTCCACCCCTCAAAAAACTCTAGATAAGCCCTGTATCCTGTTCCGTTTGCCTGTTTCTCATCTGAGCAGAGGCAACCACCTTCCTGGGTTGTTCCCTCCCTGTAAATCTCTTGTATGAGGTTTGTTGTGTGGTGTGACTGAGAGGTATTCCTTGGCTCTTGGCTGCCAGGACACCTTTCCATCCGAGCTGTAACACCTACAGTGTAGACCCAAAGGCATGCAAGAGTCAAAGATGATGAGGGATGGAAGCCAGGGAGGGAAAGTTTGGATGTCTTGGGAGGTAGGGGAGCAGAGATTCACTCAGGTCTGTCACAGCTCTACAGTTCCTGTTAGGACTCATACTGAGGGAGGTTAGGCTGTACTAGCCCAGACACTCACCGGCCATTGTCTCGGCCCACTCCCCACACACGGATGCTCACAATGGGCTGCGAGTGTAGCACGGAGCGGTCCATGGGGTCCACCAGGCTGAGCATGTCGTTTTCCAAAATCAGATACATGTCTTTGCCCTGGGTGTTAACAAAAAACATGGAGACCTTATATCTTATGTGTACTTTCTAGTCAGCTCTTATCTTTAACCACTGACACTTCTGGATTTAGACGAACTGCTAATAGGAAAGCCCCAGAGTATTTTCTTTTATCAACTCCACCCACCCCCTCCAGCCACCAACTGTTCCTGCCTCATCATTATTCATGCCAAGGACACTCTTCTTCCTTGGCCCACAGTCATTGTTCACCTCTCCCACAGGATGTGGCCAGCAAAGGGCGAGCATCACTTCCCTGGGCTTGTTTATTGACTGTCAATATCACACCGATGTCTGAGGTGCACAGACTCTCAACTGCCCTGCCAGAGCTTGGCTTATGATCTCTAACTAGCAGCCATGAACGCTGAGGCTGAGCGCTAGGTACCTGCCCCAGATCTGATACAGAGCCCATAATTACGGACATTGCCATCATACTGAGAGGGAGACCTCTGGCTTTTCAATGCTTGAGCTGCGGTTCGGATTTGTAGGGCTCATTCATGTCCCCTCTCCCTATACAGGTTGGCTCTTTAAGGGCAGGAACGCTAGCTTACGTAACCTTCTTCTTCCCTCATACAATCCTCATGTACGTTTTCAAGGAACTACTAACCATCTGCTGACCAGCAGAAAGATGGCCTCTCAAGAAGGCGACCGAGATGCCGTCGTACTGAAGCCAGGGAAGCCTGGTGGAGTTGGAGCACGAGGCCTCTCGGTGGGGCTCCCATCCCAAAGGGACGGAGGAGTGGCTCTTGGTACAATTTCTGAGAATGATGCCAAAGGTTCTTAGAATGATGGGGCGGTGACGCTTGGAGTGGCAGGGGTGGGAAGGCAGGGCCACTGCCAATGGTGATGAAGAATGCCAGCGTCTGCAGCTGGCATTCAGAGCGATCGAGGGCTTTCCCCCAAGAGCAGACAAACTTTGCAGATGAAATCATGGATACAAATGTAACTTGCACAGACTCATGTGGCCAAAGCCTTCCCACAGAGCCTGAGCGATGGATCGCCTGCTGCCCCTATCTATGCTATCTGTGGATGCCTGCCATTCATGTGAGTGCAAATCACAGCAAATTTTCTTACGGATGGGGGAGTGCACATCTTGGCTGGAGGAGAACAAAGGCTGTTTAAATGCATTTTAAATGCAGGGATGCAGTGTGAGATCGCACTTCACTACCAGAGTCATCCTTGGTGATTGGATATGACGCAGGGGAGTGAGAAGTTGCAACAGGGTTTTCTTGCAAGGGACAAAACGCTTCTCCTCCCTCCTCCATGCAGAGATCAGAGAGTCTGGTTCACAGGCAGTCCAGCCCCATATCAAGGCTTCCCCTTGGGACAGTCTCCACCGCAGGGAGACTTGAGGACTTGCTTGTCATCATGATACACTGCTGGGAGGAACTGACAGTGGAGTTGCCAACAGTCTGGTTCAAAAGCAAAGCCTCCTACCCGTGTTCTGCTGGCGGGACACAGGCACGCACCACCTACGATGCTCCTGATGGGTTCTGCGGGTCATAGAGCATGAATATGCCTTTCCCTGTTTGGTGTACTCTTAAGGCGAGTCTGGGAGTGTTTTCTATTCCGGTAGACAAATTCTATTCTTACCTTTTTGGTGGTTAGCCTAGCCTTTAACAGCAGAGTCATCTCTGCAGCCCGCAGACATTATCATCTCAACTACTAGCTCAAAGTAGACTCGCTTTATCACAAGCGAGACACCATGTAGGCATCAATTCCACAGCTCATGTGCAATGACTGTCAGGTTACAAATGAAGAAGTACGCTAAAAGTAATTAGTCACTTTGCATAGCAGGACCTTGGGATTCACGAGGGCAGGTGGGGAATCACGTGTCACTCTGAGAGTCAGGGGTTGTTCCCCAGAAAGCTGTTAACAGATGGCATTCATGGTGCACATGGTGGAATGGATTGTGAGCTGTGAACGTTCACTGATGGACCTTTGAGGATCCGAGGGCCATTGTCCTCTCCCCGGGGCACGGTCCTGCGCGGCACATAGGGGGTCACCTAGCAGCTACTCTGGTGCTTCATGCTCACAGTATTTGTCCACTGCCATTGGCAAACACATCACTCCCTCACTACAAGCTCTCCCAGAGCCCCAGGTTTAACAAAGCACGGCAGACTATTTCCAGGGTGACTTACCTCTCCCCAAATGCCAACTGTGTCTCGGATGTCATTTTTGCAGTAGGAAAGCTGCCGGATGCAGTTGTTGACAGCCACACTGCTCTTCCCGGGGGCAAGGTCCTCCTCTGCCATCTCTACCCAGCCCAGAGAGCGCACAGCAAAACACTGGAAGACAACGTCAGACAACACCAAGTGACTTGTGGGTTGGGGTCAATCGGCTTCAGGTTACTTGGAACCACACAGTGGCAAGGACAGTGTCTGCTCAGTGCACCTTATTTGCCTCTGTGGTCACCCAACTAGGTTAGCAGATCCTCTACTGCTGGAAGACAAAATTGCAACGATTTGTAGCTATGCTATTTTGAAAAACTCAGGGACAAACTTCTTCTGTCTACAGTGTAGTGAGGAGCACAGAACAGCCTTCTTCTGTCTACGGTGTAGTAAGGAGCACAGGACAGCCTTCTTCTGTATAACCAGTTTAGCACTCGCAGATACTGTCTCTGCAGAAGAACAGCACCAGGGTATACTTGCATAGCCAACTAACGGCACAGGGGCTTCTAAGTTCTCATTACCTGTGAGAAGACAGATTTCTTTTTTAATGGTAAGAAATGTAACCTCATGAGACTTGGTATTATTAAATACCTAGCAAAAAAAATATAAGAGCGTGAACTATATGCAGTAGATGGCCAACAGAAAATGAATCTGATAGTAGTTTTTGGAGGTTTCTCTCTTTTTTTTCTCTCATAATGTTTTGTCTGGACATTTTTTTTTCCTTACAGATATCTTACTTATACATTATGGACTTTGATTTTTTTGTGTCTCTATGGGATTTCTGTGTGTGTGAGCGACGTGTGTCTCTGTATCTACATGTGTGTCTCTGTATCTACATGTGTTTCTTATGCTTTTCTCTGGCTCTTTTTTATTTTTGCTCATTTGTTTATTTTGTTCTATTCAGGTTTGTTTTTTTTAAATTTTATCATGTCTTTATTTTATTATTATGAGTTTCATTTTTAAAAATATTTATTTATTATGTATATCGTGTTCTGCCTGCATGCACACCTGCATACCAGAAGAGGGACCAGATCTCATTACAGATGGCTATTCCCATGTGGTTGCTGGGAATTGAACTCAGGACCTCTGGAAACAGCAGCCAGTGTTCTTAACCTCTGAGCCATCTCTCCAGCACCAGTTTCATTTTTTTTTTAAAAGATGCCTGTTTGTTTTCTAATGAGAGAGATCAAGAAAGGGTAGGGGCTTGGGTGGGTGAAGTGATCTGGGAAGATCTCTAGGAGGGGAAACCATGTAACATGACAGGGGCCAGCTTGTTGGGGTATCTGTCCCACCTAGTACTCCACAGCCGGCAAGTCCCAAAGAAAATCACGCACAAGACTCCATAAGATTATAAACTGATTGGCCCATTAGGTCAGGCTTCTTGTTAACTCTTATAACTTATATAAACCCATTATTCTCATCTATGTTAGCCATAATGGCTCCGTACCTTTCTCAGCTGGGCAAGTTACATGCTGCCTCTTCGGTGGTCTGCGCAGGAGTGGCAGAGGAACCTCCCTGCTTCCCAGAATTCTCCTGTTCTCATTGCATCACCTCTACTTCCTGTCTGGTTTTTCCGCCTATACTGCCTGCCTGGCCAATCAGCTTTTTATTAAAATATGATTGACAGAATACAGACAATTCTCCCACACCAAAACCATAACCAAAATGTTGAATTAAAAAAACCTCTCATATATATATAAACATATATAAGCCAAAAAACAAAAAACAGAAAACAAACAAACAAACAAACACCCCCCCCCCCCAAGATGTGCTTATTTCAACAAACCAACACTCCCAAGACATGAAATGTGATATGCGTCATGGGCAATGCTCTTGATCACGAGAGCTGTCATCTCCAAATGATCTGAGTTTTCTTTCACCCCTCCCTGCACCCCAAGGTCCCCTCAAAGCTATGCACCAGTTTAAGAGACCAGTTTCCAGGGTCAGGTGGAACAGACAAGCAGCCACCTTCTTTGAAAGCAAAGAGGCTGGCTCTCAAAAAGAAGCTGCAAAATTTACAAATGAAAATTTCAAAATGAAATGAAGAAATGTGATGATCTATCCCAATGTGACCAACATCATGGCTGGTCTAACCTTCTCCACCCCAACACCATCACCGGAGTGGGCAACCCCTACCTGAGTTGCTAGTCACACTTCCTCAAGGGGAAGAACTCAACAAAGTGCTAAACCCAGAAGCTACACACGATATGTATAGCACTCACAGATGCGTTCAGCCGAGGCGGGAAGGCTGGGTAATGCCTCCTTGCATCTGTGCAGTCAGGGCATGCCCGAGCAGCATCTATTACAAATAAATCCCAAAGAGAAGGTCGTCCTAGAGACCGGAAAAGCTACTCAGCTGCTTGTCCAATGGGTACATCTGTGGCGGAGGCCTCACAGCTGTTCTACGTGTGTGTGTGTGTGTGTGTGTGTGTGTGTGTGTGTGAGCTGCAGGGGAGAAGACATTGCTGGTCTGCCCTTCTTGCAGCTCTGCTTTCCCAGCCCCCCAAAGCAGACGCTATTTCTCCAGGTGGCTAGTCAGAAATGCCTAGGCACACATCACCAAACACCCTGTTTTTCTAAAATAAAGTCCACTTCCTGGGTCTAACTGATCTCATGGGCACCTTGACCCCACTGTTTCTCCAGGGAGTCAGGGAGCCTTAAGCACAACTCTCCAACTGGTTCCCAACACAAACCCTCATTAGCAAAGTCAGTGTCGCAGCCCACCCCCTGGCCTTGTCCTTTAGACCTTGTCAGGTCCCTCCTGCCTCTAAAAGAACTGACTTTTGGTTTGGATAATATTTACTTGCATTCTTATCATTATTTTGCATGTGCACACATACATACGCACACCTGAGTACGAAGCCGGGGATTCTTTGACTTTGGCTGCTACACTTTGTGTGCAGGCGTATATGTAAAGAAAGGCTGGGCATGTTTCTCGCACTTTTTCCACTTTATTTCCTGAAATAGGATCTCTCCTTCAATCTAGAGCTCACCAAATCAGGATGGTTAGCCAACAAACAGGTCCCCAGTTCCTGCCCATTCCAAAGACCATTCCCTTTTAAGGATATCACAGGGTCCCTGCCTAGGCCTTAGAATCTACACTAGAGCACCAGAGGCTGAACTCACTAGAGTTTGGACCAAGATGAATATGTATTTATTGTCCAACCTACCTCTTTTGAGGGTATAAAAGGATAGTTCTTCTTCTTATTGTTATTGTTATTATTATTATTAATTTTCGAGACAGGATTTCTCTGTAGCTTTTGGTGCCTGTCCTGGAACTAGTTCTTGTAGACCAGGCTGGCCATGAACTCACAGAGATCTGCCTGCCTCTCCCTCCCGAGTGCTGGGATTAAAAGTGTGTGCCACCACTACCCGGCAAGAGGATGGCTCTTAATTAACAATAAGGTAAAAGAATACTGGCTACAGGGCTGGAGAGATGGCTCAGTGGCTAAGACCACTGGCTGCTCTTCCAGAGGTCCTGAGTTCATTTCCCAGCAATGACATGGTGGCTCACATCCCCTCATATATAATAGGATCTGATTCCATATTCTGGCATGCAGGTATATAAGGAGAGCATTCATACATAAAATATAAATAAATTTTAGGAATACTGGTTACCTTTTGCTCCTTAAGTGCAAGCACACACGGATGTCAATCTAAACAAACTCAGTAAAACGTAACGGTACCTACGGCAGCACATCTAGACTATCATTTTGTCATAAGGAAACAAAAGCCTATCATCACCATCGGGAATTTATTTAAAGTCACTTCCTTGCACAGTCATGCAGCTGTTCGATTTCCGGTCTGAAAAGCTTCACTGCCATTCCATGTAGCCAAATGGTACAGAGGGGATACTGTACCCCACCTTGGGTAGCTCCCTCCAGCTGGGTCTTCCCAAAGGGGAGCAAAGAGCACCAGCATTGCGTGGTGCTGCCCCCACGTGGTCAGGAAGCTTAAAGCAGTCATTATGCTACCTTAAATTCAAGTGGTAGACAAAATTGGCTCTTGGGAACAAAAACTTAATTTTAGGTAGGAGAAGAGCTGAAAATATTTATTCAAATCACTTGCCCTTTTAAAACTTTTTAAAAATGAAATGAAATATAAAAAAATAGGCACATTTTTGTTTTGTTTTGCTTTGAGACAGGGTTTCTTCTTTGTTTAGCCCTGGCAATCCTGGACCGCACTCTGTGGACCAGGCTAACTCAAAATCAAAGAGATCTGTGTCTCTGGTTCCTTAGTGCTGGGATTAAAGGTGTGTGCCAACATGGCCCAGCGGATATTCTTTTCTACAGTGGCTTTTAAACATTGCCGGCGTTGAACTGATCTCAGCCAAAGTTAGGATGCGGCTAAGATTTCTGTAGACCAAGATGCTCTGGGGATTGCTGTGGAGGGGCAGCCCTCTTCTCTCCCCAGTGTGGCACTGCTCTATGGACTCTGAGTGTAAATGCCTGGTTCAACCCCAGGACTGCCATTGCCACTCCTGATCTCAGCTAGCCTTTCCTTTTAGTGTGGGCTCATTGCACATGCAGACATGCATGCATGAAGGCCAGAAGTCAGCTTTGGGTCATTCCTCAGGAACCATCTGTTCTGTTTCGTGAGACAGCATCTCTCTTCTGGGACAGGGATCACTGATGAGGCTAGGCTGCCAGGTCACTGAGCCCCTGGGAACCACCTGTCTCAGCTTCTCCCATGCTGGGAATGCATGCATGCATGCACTGCCACCATGCACCACACTGCACCATACCCCGTACTGCCACCACGGCCCACACTCCACTATGCACTGTACTGCCATCATGCTCCATACTGCACCATGCCCCGCACTGCAGCCTGCCCCACACTGCACCATGCATGGCACTGCACCATGCTCCAGACTGCATCATGGTCTGCACTGCCACCATGCATGGCACTGCACCTTGTCTCACGCTGCACCATGCACCGCACCATGCCCCACACTGCCCCTATGCACAGCACCGCACCATGCCCCACACTGCCACCATGCCCCACACTGCACCATGCCCCACACTGCCCCTATGCACAGCACCGCACCATGCCCCACACTGCCACCATGCTCTGCACTGTAGCATGCCCTGCACTTTGATCTGAGTTCCTCAGGCAAG